CGCCGCCAAGCCCGGCAGAAAGGCCCCCGCCCTCCTTGACGGCGGGTTCCCTGTCTCCAGGAGGGAGTATGATTTTGAGGACGACTGTGACAGCCTGACTTGGGAGGAGACTGAGGAGACCCTGCTGCTTTGGGAGGATTTCTCAGGCTATGCCATGGCAGCCGCAGAGGCGCAGGGAGAGGTAACGGCCCCTCCCGGCCTCAGGGCCCCTGCCAGTCCTGCCCGCCCCCCCAGATGGACGCCCTGTCCCCTCCCTCGCCTCCCTGCACTCCTTGCTGCTTTCCCTCTGTGGCCTCCATCCTCTACCTGCTTCTCCCCTCTTCCTTTATCCTGTCTCTGCGCTTTCTCCAGTTTCCTTTAACCGGACTCTCTCTCTCTTCCCCGCCTTGGCCCTGTGGAATGCCCCCATCCCACCCTCCCCATTGGCCTCCCCCTTGCTTCCCTTTCTGCGCCAGCAGCAGGAAGACAGTTTGGAGAAGGTGATTAAAGATACGGAGTCCCTGTTCAAAACCCGGGAGAAAGAATATCAGGAAACCATTGACCAGATAGAGGTAAGGCTGGGGGTTTCTGAAGCCGCAACCCCGGGAACCCCAGACACCGGGCCTTCTCCTTTCTCTTATGGGGGTGGAGCCTTCAGACGTCAGGCTCCGGCGGAGGGCGGACAGATGTGGGTTCCAGCCTCAGCCCTGTCGCCTCCAACTTCTAATGGGCTACTTACCCCCTCTGAGCCTGTTTCTTTATTTGTCAGGTGGGATCTTGATTGTCCCTCCCTCACAGGCTTGCCTGACACCCGATGAAACGAGGCCCGTGTAGAGCTGAGGGCAGTGCCTGTCTCCTGGGAAGCTTACTGTCCGTGCCCTAGCAGAGGCCACTAAGAAGTGGACTTGAACTTTGCTGTTTCTTCAGCTCAGCCTTTCAGTGGATGGAGGACCCTCTGTTGTCATTCCCTAGCCCGGAGGGAGCTTCCTGGGTGGGCAAGGGAAGCCGGTGTTCTAACTTAGAGTTAGGTCTGCAGGGCCGCGGGCCGTGGGTTTGTGGGGCCAGGGCCCAGGGGCAGCGGGGCGGGCGGGACGCGGCTCTCAGCGGCCTCCTGGCCCTGGAGAGGGCCCTTCCCTGAGCCCCGAGTGCCCCGGCTTGCGTGGGCCTCTCTTCAAGCCCACGTGACCTGTTTATACCCTTGCTGCTCTTGCACTGCCAGGCATTTCGAGAAGGAAGTTGACAGATGATTTTCCTACTTGCGCATTCCACACGGTCCTGCTCCTTGAAGCCAAACCCGCTTTTGTTTCTTGCCCAGGCAGACAGGCTGAGTTTTAAAGGCCTGCAGCCGGAATGTCTGCTCCCCGCTGAGGAGAGGGGTTGTGGGGGGGCCGCTCTCTGTCCACTCACGGACACCCATCCCGGCGGTCTCCCTCTTGTCTTGCAGGAGGACGGCTTTAGGAGAGGTGTTGGGAGAGCTAACAGGGGGCTTCGGGTGCACTGCTGGCCCTGATAATTGCCCATTGCCAGCGGTAGAGCCAGGGCCCAGGTGGAAGCAAGGTGGGAGGGAGCTCCTGCCATCCTGTCTCCTTCCTCCCCACCAAGTCCCAGCACTACCCGGCCCTCCGGTCCCACAGCGAGACTCGGGTTTTCAGTGGAGGCTGTTGGGTACCTGGTAGCCTGAGGTGGCCGCCCTCCCTCGCGTGTGAAGGAAGGGGACACGTAAGGATGTGTAGAGGCCACGGGTGACGGTCCTAGCCTCGCCTTTGGATAGACTATATTTGCTTCATTTCCGTCTTTCCCGTCCTCGCGAGGGATGGGCTCCAGAAGCTAGCCCCTTCCCCTCCTGCCCGCCTGAGCTGGAGAAGCCGGGGTGGGGGCGGCAACCAGGCTGCGCAGGAGCAGGTGACCTCATACCCTCTTCCCGGCTGAGCAGTCGCGCGGCCCGCGGCCCGGCTCTGCAGTCAGGGCTGCATGCCAGCTTCCCCCCGCCAGGGCGCCCGAGCCCCCCGGGCCACCATCTCTAACGTCTGGCCCTGTGACCCCTTCACTTTTTCCCCTGAGTTCCCATCCTTTCCTTGTCCAGTTTGGATTAGTTCTGGGTGGTTTCCTCTATCCAATTTGGATTATTCACGGGTAGTTTCTTACCCTTTCTCTTTGCTCCCAGGCAGTCAAGCAAATCACCTCCAAGCGGTTTTATTTGGCCTCTCGTTTGGCCCCTGTCCTTTGTACCCAAAACGAAGAGAGGCAGCAGATTGTCTCTGGCCCAGATCTTTCCTGCCTTCGGCCCCTCTCAGCTCTCCCTCTGCGAGGGAGGCCGTATTTCCTTGATTCTGAGGCCACATTTCCGACATGGAACATTTCTTGAGTTGGGATCCATCTAAGCAGTAGGACGTTGGGGGTGGCAGCAGTCTTTCCGTGCGGCTCTGCGAGCGGCTCACATGAGAGACAAGGGCGATCAGGGGAGGGTCGAGCCTCTTGCAGCAGGCAGGCAGGTCTCCTTTGTGCCTCGAGCCTTGTCGCCACTTCTCGAAGTTCACGAAGTTATTTCCCAGCGTGGTGCTGGGCCTGCACAGGCAGAGATGAGTAAGAGTCGTGGCCGGCCTTCCAGAAGCACCCAAATGAGTGAGGGAGACAGACGGGGTGCAGCGTGGCACGGGGCCGCAGGAAGCCCAGGGAGGGAGCCAGGCCGCGCACAGACAGCTGCCGCGGGCTCTCTGTCCTGCCCACACTTCGGTTCCTCTCGTCAGGGAGGCTCTGTTGCAAGAATGTGGGCCCGTAGCAGAGACCTCCGCCTTCCTCTGCAGGCAAAGATTCCCGGGAAAACTAGGAATGATAGTACAGTGGGTGCCTTCTGGCTGGTCAGACTGGTTTTTAGATCTGAGCCTTTGCCCACGGCCGCCTGGGCCCCCCTGCCCGGCGGTGTGTTTGGCGTGTTTGCCTGCTGGGGGTGCGGGGCCGGGGCCCTGCTGACCTGCTCGGCCCTGCCCTGCCCCTGCCACAGCTGGAGCTGGCCACGGCCAAGAATGACATGAACCGCCACTTGCATGAGTACATGGAGATGTGCAGCATGAAGCGCGGCCTGGACGTGCAGATGGAGACCTGTCGCCGGCTCATCACCCAGTCGGGAGACCGGTGAGGACCTCTCCTGGGGGCTGGGGCCCGGCCCACCTTCCCCATGTGTCTTCCTCCGGGGGCGCATGCAGGGAGGGGGCGCGGTGGGCAAGCCCTGAGCACCCCGAGACTCAGTCCCATCTCGATGTGGGGCTGTGGGAGGGCACCCGGTGTGTCTGGCCCAGCCCCGCAGCCTTCTCTCCTTCAGCAGTGGGGCGATGGGTGGGCGTCCGTTCGTGGCTGGATGGCCAACACCTCCCAATGCCGCCATCTCTGGGGTTTCCCTGGTTAGAAGCGGCTCAAAACTGCCAAGGGACAGAAGAGGTGTGGGGGCAGATTTTTATCTAAAGTCAGGGCCACAGTTGGTGCATTTGACCCTGTGTAAGTTCTGTCTCTACAAAAAAGTCAATTTTAAAAAGTCACAAAAATACTACAGATAGACCTAAAGCTGGGGCCATCAAGCCTGTGCACTCGGGCTCAGGTAACATCTCTCATACTGTGATTTGAGATATTTCTTTTCTTTTTTTGATTTTATTTATTTGAGAGAGAGAGAGTGAGAAAGCATGAGTGGGGGGAGGGGCAGAGGAAGAGGGAGAAGCAGGACCCGGATTTGATGACCTGAGCCAAAGTCAGATGTAGGCACCGACTGAGCCACCCAGGTGTGCTCCTGTGATTTGAGATATTTCTGGACTCTGAGCCTCCCAGAGTCTCCAAGATAAAGACATGGACCATATCCCCCAACAGGACGGGGTGCGAGAGCTTTCTTTCCCCTTCCCGGCTTCCCTCACCCTGCGTCCACCCTCACCCAGGGGGCCCTCCTGTCCTTGCCTAGATGGTGTTCACCGGCCTGCACGAGAATAAGGCCACGGGAGAGAGGAATGCCCTCCTCATCAGGATTCCTGCCTGCCCCAGGGTGACAGCTGGTGTTTTTTTCTAGAAAGTCTCCTGCTTTCACTGCGGTCCCGCTTAGTGACCCACCGCCGCCGCCAAGCGAGGCTGAGGACTCCGATCGAGATGTCTCATCTGATAGCTCCATGAGATAGGGACCCGCCTCCAGCGCCCTGGGGCCCCACTGTGCTGGGAACTCACCAAGGCAGAGGGGTGGGGGGGTTCACAGAAGGGGAACATCATCCGTCCCGCCGCACCAAGCCTTGCCCCTGGGGACTGGGGCGCTCCTTCCTTGGGCTTCCTGCCTGTGACCTTGGCCTCCAGGGTTCTAAGGTGTCTGGAGCGAGGCTTAGCCCGCCCGTCCCAGGTGACTCCCACCACAGCCGGGGCTCTCCTGCCTTCATGCGTGGGTGGCTGCTACTTTCTCATCTTTTTTTTTTTTTAAAGATTTTATTTATTTACCTGAGAGAGAGAGAGAGCACAGAGGAAGAGTGAGAGGCAGAAGCAGGCTTCCCGTGGAGCAGGGAGCCCGATGCGGGGCTTGATCCCAGGTACCTGGGAGCATGGCCTGAGCCAAAGGCAGACACTTAACGACTGAGCCACCCAGGCGCCCCTACTTTCTCATCTTTAAAATGCTGCCAGAGCGATCGTGGCCCCTTACTTTGTCCACTGAGTAAGGAATGTGATCATCAGATCTTCCTTCCGTTTCTGTGGCCTCAAGCCAGCTTACGGTCTGATTCTGTACTGGTGCTAACTGGCCCAGGCACTGGTATGAAGTGGGTGAGGCTGGACGTTGCATGGCTTGTGCAACACATGCTGTGGGAGAGGGCCGCGCCCCCCCCCCCCCCCCGTGGCGCAGGTGGGAGGACGGCCTGGGCAGGTCGCTCCGTCCTCCCTCCGTCGGCCTAGTGCTCCTGGCCGGCCGTCTGCCCGGGGATGGAAGCGATGTGGTGGCCGCCCTTCCCTCGGGCAGTGCCTGCCTTCAGGGGGCCTTAGTGCCTATCTGGGCGGCTTCTGGGAATGACTGGGTGCAGCGTCGTGGAGGGAGATGGAAGCCTCTGCTTGTTTCCAGTCAGCGCTGAGTGGCAGAGAAAAAGGTGAAGCTCCTTGTGCGTGCGTGCATGCGTGCGCTCAGGGTCTCCGTCTCTCAAGCATCTCAGCTGAAGATGCGCCTCCTCCGTGTCTGTCACGCACTGAGAGCAGCAGGCTAAGATGTCCGGACTTGGAAAAGCTTGGGGGAACCTGGGGGCGTGCGAATGAGGACACATCACATCAGTCTGCCTGCCTGAGGGAGGCTGGGCTGACATTGAAATGGAATCTTTAATAATAATCAAACTGGAGAGTATTTATCGAACACTTTCGTGTCACTGTTTCAAGCACTTTCTGGTGGCAGCTACCCGATCCCTTCTGGGCGGGGGGTAGGCCCTGCTCTTCGTCACCTGACACACAGGCAGGTGCCAAGTGAGGCCGGGGAGGTTGTAACTTGCCCCAGTCGCAGGGCCTCTGCCCACGTGGCTGGTGGCGGCCTGTGCGCCGCCCCTGAAGCCCCCTCCCGCAGATGCTGGCTCCCCTTCCCATGCCCCTGGAAATCCTGACAGTGGGGGTCACCCTCGCGCTCCTGGTCATGGGCTACAGTGCTCAGCCGACCTAAAAGAATCCTTCTAGAAGACCCGGAGGGGCTGGGCCTGGCCTATCATTTCACAGACGGAGGAACTAGGGCACACTAGGCAAGTGACAGTGCAGACCTCTCCGCAGCCCGGGAGCCAGTCGAGGCCGCAGGACTTGCTAGCCCAGTTCCAGAGCGCGACTTCCTGGGCCAAGGTTACCCTCCAGGTGGCTGCAGACAGAACGGCTTTCAGACAGAGGCAGCCAGGTCACCTGGTGACAAAACAGACTTGCCCTCTGACGTCATGTTGGGTCATGTAGCACCTAGGGGCCCTGGAGGGATACTAAGCCAAAGTGAAGACCAATCCCAATGGCTCTTAGGAGTGCAGTGCACACACCTTTGTGAGGGATGCTCTCGGTTAGGCCCAAGACATGGGAGTTTATGCCTGGTTGGGGTATGCTGGGCCTTTCTTGGGTACTGTCCACAAGATTGGTTTCTCTTTGGCACCCAGCCTAGCTCCCCTCCCCTTTATCCCAGACCTCGGAATAAGCTAAAAATCCCAAAGAGTTGGCTGGGTACAGTATACTTTATTGATGGTACATGACAAGGTAGGGGTCCCCAAGCCCCTCCCCTTCTTCAGGGGGTCTGGGATGGAAACGGAGGAGGTCGGGAGATTCTCAGTGTTTTGGGGGTAAGTTGGGGCAGGGACTCCCCAGCAGCTGAGGGCCTCTCTCTTCCTCTTGCTCTCGCTGGGGCTGGTGGTCCAGGGGGCTCTTACTCCTTGGAGGCCATGTGGACCATAAGGTCCACCACCCGGTTGCTGTAGCCGAATTCATTGTCATACCTGGAAGGAGATCAAGCGTGAAGGGCTGTTTTCCCGAACCGGCCACCAGAGGGCGCCCGACGCTCGCCACTTTCCCAGGTGTCGCCCCACCCCGGCCACATACCAGGAAATGAGCTTGACAAAGTGGTCATTGAGAGCAATGCCAGCCCCGGCATCGAAGGTGGAGGAGTGGGTGTCGCTGTTAAAGTCGCAGGAGACAACCTGGTCCTCAGTGTACCCCAGGATGCCCTTGAGGGGGCCCTCTGACGCCTGCTTCACCACCTTCTTGATGTCGTCGTATTTGGCCTGACAAGGTAAAATCGAGATGGTTATTCAGGTTCCAATCCTGCCGGTCTCCCCCAGACGCCCATCCCTAGCGTACCACCTTCTCCGACCCCCACTTACAGCTTTCTCCAGGCGGCAGGTCAGATCCACGACGGACACGTTGGGGGTGGGGACACGGAAGGCCATGCCAGTGAGCTTCCTACAGATTGGGGGGGGAACGGGGTCAGCACCAGTCCTCCTGACCGCCCCCCCCCCAAGACCCCCAGAGCAGGAAAGCAGCCAGGAGCCTCACCCATTCAGCTCAGGGATGACCTTGCCCACAGCCTTGGCAGCGCCAGTGGAAGCAGGGATGATGTTCTGGGCAGCCCCTCGGCCGTCACGCCACATCTTCCCAGAGGGGCCGTCCACGGTCTTCTGGGTGGCAGTGATGGCGTGGACAGTGGTC